TGCCTGACCACTTTATCTATCTCCTGAGAAATCTATATGTGGGACAAGAAGCAACAGTTAGAACTGGATATGGAACAACTGATTGGTTCAAAACTGGGAAAGGAGTATGGCAAGGCTGTATATTGTCCCCTTGCTTATTTAACTTATACTGTATGCAGAATACATCATGCTAAAGGCTGGACTGGAGGAAACCCAAGCCGGAATTAAGATTGCCAGAAGAAATATCAACAACCTCCAATATGCAGATGATACCACTCTGATGGCAGAAAGTGAGGAGGAATTAAAGAATCTCTTAATGAGGGTGAAAGAGGAGAGCACAAAAATGGTCTGAAGCTCAACATCAAAAAACCTAAGATCATGGCCACTGGTCTCATCACCTCCTGGCAAACAGAAGGGGAAGATATGAAAGCAGTGACAGATTTTACTTTCTTGGGCTCCATGATCATTGTAGATAGTGACAGCAGCCACGAAATTAATAGACGCCTGCTTCTTGGGAGGAAAGTGATGACAAACCTAGACAGCATCTTAAAAAGCACAGACCGCACCTTTCCGACAAAAGTCTGCATAGTCAAAGCTATGGTTTTTCCAATAGTGATGTATGGAATCGAGAGCTGGACCATAAAGAAAGCTGACCGCCGAAGAATTGATGCTTTTGAATTGTAGTGCTGGAGGAGGCTCTTGAGAGTCCCCTGGACTGCAAGGAGAACAAACCTATCCATTTTGAAGGAAATCAACCCTGAGTGCTCACTGGAAGGACACATCCTGAAATTGAGGCTCCAATACTTTGGCCATCTCATGAGAAGGGAAGACTCCCTGGAAAAGACCCTGATGTTAGGAAAGTGTGATGGCATGAGGAGATGGGGACAACAGAGGATGAGATGGATGGACAGTGTCATCGAAGTGATCAACATGAATTTGACCCAACCCCAGGAGGCAGTGGAAGACAGGAGGGCCTGGCGTGCTCTCGTCCATGGGGTCATGAAGAGTCGGACATGACTTAACGACTAAACAACAAATTACAGTGCAATCCTGTTCATATTCACTGAGAAGCACGTCATTATTGTGCTCTGAAAAACTTTCTCCTGGGCAAATCTGCACAGAAACGCAATCTAAACAGCACACTGAGAAGCACGTCATTATTGTGCTCTGTGAAAAACTTTCTCCTGGGCAAATGTGCACAGAAACGCAATCTAAACAGTATACTGTATTCGTACCTATGCCAACATAAAGTTTATAATTTTACCGTGTTTCCCCAAAACTAAGACAGGGTCTTATATTGTTTTTTTGCTCCAAAAACTGCATTAGTGCTTATTTTCACAGGATGTTTTAATTTATAACATCCTGTGAAACAACAATCTACATTTATTCAAATACAGTCATGTCAACTTCTTCTGGTTGCTGCACAATGGTGGAGAACAGGGTTTCACTTAACTGGGACTTATTTTTGGGGTAGGGCTTTTTTTACAAGCATCCTGAAAAACCATACTAGGGCTTATTTTCAGGTTGGGTCTTCTTTTCAGCAGAACAGGGTAAGTAGGACTTGTTCCCAAGTAAAAGCACAACACTGTAGCCAATGCCACTCCTGTTTGCAATACACAGCTTGCCTCATAGCTTAATCTCCAGCACTTTTACAGTACATATGCACATTATGTCCTTTGGTTCGATCCTGGAGCTTAGCCATAGGCAAATTGTCTACTAAGAGTCTCTCTGTCTTTCCTTTCCTTTCCACTGGCACTGCAATTTGAAAACCCTTTTCAAGCAACAGCGGAGCCAGCATAGCTTGACGCCAGTGCTGCTAGCACTGTTATTTATGCAGGTGCCCAGGTGGAGTCGAAAGCATATCTTCTCCACTGAAAAGAAAAACCAGAGTGTGGAGCCGGTCAGGGGCTTCAGGCAGCCACCCCACTTGGGCAAAGAGGAGGGCCGGCTCTGTTAGCGGGTCACAGGCTACCTATTTCGCTCCCTGTCCAAAGAGTGCCAAGGCTGGTGACCCTGGCACCCCAGTCAACTTGCTTGCTGCTCCGGGTTATCAGCTGGGTTAATGTTCATTACGGGTGGGGGTGGGAAGAGAGAGGAGCTCCCTCTTGCCCTTCACCCCAACCCCTTTCCTCATTGCCAGCCCCCTTTCCCCGGGGATTCACCCCCAACCAACCCTCACAACTTCTAGTGTTGCTTAGCAACCGCCGCCACTACCATCCTGCTCCTTCCCTTCGCGGCCATAAAACACGCCGGAGCGCGCGGGTGTGGGCGCATGTGTGTGCTGTCTGTCAGATAATCGGTTCCCTCTCCTTTCCCCCCAAAATGGGGCTGGGCGTCTTGCCCTCTTCCCCCATTTCGTCTGAAATCATCCCCCCCCCTCAGCTCCCAAGCGCTGCCCCGTCAGGCGAGAAGTGGCGGGGAGGAGGGCAGGCAGGCGCCAGAGCGCGGGAGAACGAGCGCCCCAACCACCCAAGCTCGACTGACACCACCACGCATGTGTTGCGCTC